GGCAATCCCAAAGTGACGACCAATAAATAGGATAAGCATAAAATACTTATTTAAAATACTATTAGTTTTAGTAGTAAATTATGTTTTAGTAACTGATTCTACGTCTAAATTTTACATTCATTACCAGGGGTTGGCTAAGAAATTAATGTCAGGACTCGGCATCAACGAAAGGAGTAACTGATTATAAATAATAAAGTCTTATGATGGCTGTCATGCGAAAGCCGGAAGCTCAGATGATTTTAATTTAAACAATTTCACTCACCGCCTATGCTTTTCGTCTTCATGACGAAAATTCCTATTTACGCTAGAAATAGCAAAAAATGAATGTAAAGGCTTCATTAGGCTCATAGGAAGCTCCCAAAAGCTCATTATGTCCTAAAGTCCAATTGTGTATCCTTTTGCTTAAATGTTGACCTTTTATATGTGAATAGTCGTCACAGTTCCATTAAATGATACGGTGTTATTAGCCTAATGTGCCAATAATGAATTGATGAAAAAAAATCTTGAAAAAGAAAATGTAGGAAGATAGAGAAATCGATTAGTTTCAAATTTGACAATGTAACCCATTAGTTTCCATCAGCTCAATTCAATAAAAGTTGTCAGGACAGATAAAAATGTTATTGGTGCTGTTTATCCAGACTAACTTTTCAATTGTGGAGCGGAGCCAAGCAAAGTATAACAAAAAGTTCTAATCGAATTTAACATGATCGATAGTGGCGCAAATCTACTCGACCGGCTTGCCAGGCCAAGTCAGCTAACGGCGAAGCAAAAAGACTATTAAAATGGTTAAAGCCACAAACGCTCGTGACAAGGATTTCAGAGATATTTGGTGATAGTGATAAAATAATAAGTAAAATGCTGCTTTGTTTACAGTCTGACGATATAGCGCTAGTAGATGCTAGTAAAATATGATTATGGACCAGTCAACAAATAGAGTAAGGTTAAGAGAACAAGTCTTACAATTCGAGAAGTCATCGTTTTTGTATACCAGTTATTTAATAAAATAACACTAATAAGAGCAGTTTATGAGGGAGAAATGAAGTGACATTTTACTAAAGGGAATCAGACTTACTCCACTTGACCAGTCAAGGGTAAGTCCTTGGCTAGGAAGGCTTTCTTGTACATCAGGCCCGCTCTGATAGGTAGGCGCTATAAGTGCCACATGTTGACTTTTCGCAACGACACCAAGGGAGCCTACGGCAGCAACGGGGTGTAAATTCGACTCTTTGTCATCTGTCATCGGCTCGCCAATGCCGTCCGACTTTCTAAGACTCGAAGAAGTCAAACCCTCTGAATCTGTCTTGGGTCCAGGGAGGTCAGGCAGGGCATGCTGCTGTGGGCTGCTGGTATCTAATGCCAGTACTTGACTCTCACTGGCCTGTTGAGCTCCGTTGAGCTGTGAATGGACCAGACGACCCAAAGAGTGATAGAGCTCAGAAAGGACTGGAGTCGAAAGCAAGCGGAGGAAGGCATCATCGAACAAGTTAACCACTGACAGCACTTGCCCACTCGGCAGGTTGTCGAT